TGTGGCATTAAAAAAACTACATGATTCACAGAATATTTCTGATGAATTTCTTAATGAGGTAAATTATTTTATTTTCTATTTATTTTCTGATTTTTAAATATTATTGATTATTATTGTTGTAATTAAATATTTTATTTATTATTTAGTTCAAAAATTATATGAACTTTCATGATAAAGAATCTATAATTCATATTTATGGATTAACACAGGATCCAATTACAAAAAAATATATATTTGTAATGAAATATATGGAAGATGGAAATCTTCAAAATTATTTAACAAAAGATTTTAAAAACTTAAAATGGAAAGACAAAATTAATATTCTTAAACAAATTATTAATGGTTTAAAAGATATTCATGAAAAAGAAATTATTCATCATGATTTTCATAGTGGTAATATTCTTCAAGGATATAGTTATTCATATATTGCAGACTTAGGATTATCATGCATATCTAGTCAAACATCATCATCAGGCAAAAATGATATATGTGGAGTACTACCATATATTGCACCAGAAGTTTTAAATGAGAAACCATATACAATAGCATCAGATGTATACAGTTTTGGAGTTCTGATGTCTTTAGTATCAACTGGCCAACAACCATTTAATAATTTGGCACATGATAAATATCTTGCAATGAAAATCTGTAAAGGTGCAAGACCAGGATTCTCAAACAATACACCAAAATTCTATATTGAACTAGCATTCAAATGCATGAATGCTAATCCAGATAAACGTCCAACTGCTAAAGAAATTTATGAAATTATTTATGATTGGAGATATGAAGGTAAATTTAAAGAAGAGTTTGAGAAAATGGACAAAATAAAATTTGATCCTTCAACAATTACTGCAGTAATTCATCCAAATGCAATTTATACTAGCAGATTATTAAATTTTACAAACCTTCCCCAACCTGTGAATTCCAATAAAGTAACTATTATTGGTAATAATAATGGTAATTATCATTAATCATTCAATTATTAATTTAAAATTTAGTATTGATATTAAAATTAATATTATTATCATACTTATAGTTTCTCATTTAATGGATATAAACATTTAGATTATTTGGAATTTTTTTTCATTAGATGTCCAATATGCTCACTAAAATAATGATTTTTGAAAAAAATAAACATAATTGCAGTATTATTTGTTTCTTATCTTTTCAAATCAATGATTTTATTTTTTTATAGCATTAACAAATTGAAGTACTATCAATATACCATATAATTTATATAATATATAAATAATTTATTAATATTAAAAACCTTAAAATTTAATACATGTATCTGAATAATTTAAATATAATAAAAATTATACCTAAATTATCAAATAAAAAACCAACTGACACAAACTACAATATACTGATTGTGAGTTTTGTTGAATCAAACTTCTGATCTTATTCGGAAGCCCTGACCTGAAGCTTTGATGTTTACCCCAATAGGAAAAGATACTATAAGTACATTAAACAAACCACCTTCAATAGATAGCTAGGTCCTGCTTGTATTGGTACTAGCCACATTGATGCTTGAGAAAAAAGAAAATTTCAAAATTAGAACCAAATACTGGCCACCAAAAATGCAAATATCTATCAAAAACCACAACCTTGCCATCAAATTTCCTTTTTAAAAAGAAATAAGTGTGTAAAGGCTTCCTCAGATCTTCTATAACTTGATGGTGGCCAAAGACAAATGGACCCACTTGCATGAAGTGGCAACACTAAGGTTGTGGGCGAAACCTCTTAATGACTGTCGAAACTCTGTCGAAACTCTAATGAACAATTAATGTGTAACCTGTCGAAACTCTGATGATTGGCGAAAACCCCAAATGCGAAACTCTGCCAAAACTCTAATAAACAATTAATGTGTAACCTGTCAAAACTCTGTCGATTGATTTCTGGAGGAATTTCTCCCGCAACCTTAGCATGCACCCTTGGTAGATTATGCGCCATTTATTATGATTTTTATAATAAATTTATGATATATATATGTTTTTTAATGGATGATGATTATTGTTGTTGTTGAGATATTTTCAAAAGTTTTATTCATGAAATTTTTTAATTGTATAGGAGTGTAAGAATTTGATAAAAAAAAAATTTAATCTTTATTTATTATTATACTGATTTTTTTGGAATTGGATTATTTATTGTTGTGTTTATCTTGTTTTTATTATTATTTTGTTGTTTGCATTCATCTTTTTATTATTATTGGGAAATTTGGATTTAATACTAATCAAACAAACAATTTTAATATTGTTGTTTGCTTTTACCTTTTTTTATTTTTAAATTTATTCACTATAATGTGATTGGTGCTATTCATCGTACAGTTTTAAGTTTGTTGAAATGAGAGTTTGACTGTGGGTTCACTATCATTATCACTATAATTATGATTGCTATTATCATTGTCCATGTTGCAAATAAGTAAAGGAGAGATATCACATCTCTAAAGCAGATTAAATTTGAGTAATACAATTATGCAAATGCATAAATCTGGTGTCTCTATTCCTTATTCATTTTGATAACTAATAATATTTTGTGAATAAATAGGTTTAGTTGATGCAAGTATATAATATATTAATATATTACAAGTTTATTAGAAAGTTTCTTTTTAGCTGGAGAAACTGACAAACAGAAGATATACAGTTGAAACTATGTTGGAAGAATTAGATATTATGGCAGAAGTTCAAGTTGATAAAAACTTTGGTTCTCAAACTTTAAACTATTTGTGGGTGGATTAATCACCTATGTTGTATTAGTATATTTAGAGCAATGCCAGAGGTTGTGAGTATGTGACCCAATATCATCTGTCCTTATATTATTATGACCTAATTAGTATTAGTCTGTTATAGAGAGCTACCCCAGAATCACCAGCAAAAAAAGTGATATTTATCCAATAAAATTGCAAGATCATGTGTTCTGTTCTGTTACTGCTGTATATTATAGTAAAACTTAGTGAAGGATAGGTTATACATATTATCAGAAATTATCATTGTTAACTCAGGCACAATCTCATGATACCCTGACTATACATGCAGTCCAAACTAATTATGACTTTCGGCATGTTGTAATGTTGTAATGTCATAAATATATTTAGGCATCCATTTTCAAATTGTAATGTATAATCATGTTGGAATATCATAATCATGTCATAATGTCATAATCATATTGTAATGTCATAAGAATTCCATCCCAATTTATATGTCCCATATATACCAACAGACATTTTTTGTAATAGTAAGTCAAATGGTCTGTTATAGAGAAAGTGAACTCTACTTACACTATAAGTGATTCCATGCATAGCTCAAAACCAAGCTACACAAGAAGGAAATAATGATTCAATATATTTGAAAAAAAAACAGAAATAAAACAAAAGCTCTTTTTGAAGATTGTAATTATTAATGATAATAAAATTTACTGGGTAAAGCAATTAAATGAATATTTATCACCAATTAGTTGATTTGGAAGATGATGTTGGTTAATGCTCATGCTCATATTCAACTTCAACATAAGCAGCACCTAAAACAATTAATTGAAAAAATCAGAAAAAATATCACAAAATATTAAATATTTTTTTGCTGATTTTACAAAACTTACAAGATTTTTTATTCTGTTTGAATGTTGTTATCTTATTTTTTCGTTTATTCTATCAAAAAAAAATATAATATATATTGTTATTATTATTACAAGTTACTTATGTTCAACCATCAATGAGATAGATACCTTTAAATTATTTTCTTCAACTATTTCTTCTTCATACTCTTCTAGTTCTTGTGAATCTTCTGAATCATCATCATTGTCAAATTCATCCTCATCCTCTTCTTGAAGAAGATCTTCTAAATCCGCCAACTCTGATTCACTATCACCTTCAACAAATTCATTTTCCTCCTAAAAAAATTTTATGATTACAAATAAGTATATGATGTCAAGCTAATAAATAAATAAAAAATCCATATTATATCACACCATCAATAATAATAGACATTTACCTCACTATTTAAATCTTCTACTTCACTCTCACTTGTAAGATCATCTTCAACTTCAACTTTATCACCTTCCAAAACTGATCTCCAAACCTTTTCATTAACATTAAGTGGTGTATCACCATAAGCTTTATTTTTCAACCGACCAATCAACTCCTTTTCTATTGCATGATCTAAATGTGCAGCTGCTTCAGCCTTTCATTCTCTAGTTGATTCTCTCCTCTCAATTTTCTTTTTGATTCCAACAAGCTTTGGTCTAATGAATTTGTGTTTATTTTTGTGAAAAATATTTTTTAAGAAAAGAATATAATATTAATAAAATACTACATCCACTAACCGATCTTTTAATTTTAACTTCCTCACCTGTATTAAATATTGAGTGATTTTTGTTAACCATTGTTTGCATTTATGAATCAAAAAATTTGGCCAGAACAGTAACTCTTTATCAAACTTTTTTTTTATAAATAAAATATTATAATCTGTTAAAATATAAATAAATAATTATCGATATAAAAAATTCTGTTCTAAAGCTTTTTTATAATTTTTTAAAAGTTTTGTTTTTTGCCATATTTTTGCAGGAGTATGAGCTCTTTCAGCGATTTTTGTATATAAATAAATTGTACCTATCAAATAAGAAAAATCAATAATTAATTTTTAATTTTAATCAGAATATTTATATATGGATATCAATGATTCCTAGAAACTAACCATTTATTTCACGAACAGTTGCATATTGACTATTTGCCAATGGACAAGATTGTCTACTACAAAATCCAGTGACATTATATTCATTTTGACAAAAATTCTGAGTTTTTGTTCTAAAGGGCAAAACAAAGGCTTCTTAATACATTATAATGAAGTAAAAAATAAACATATAATATACAAAAATTTTGGTTTATAACTTGCCAAATCACTTCATCTGACATTTATATATGTATATATAATTGTTTTTGGAAATGAAAAATTTTTTATCAGATGAATCGAATATTTGTACTACCAGATTTCAGGGCTAATGTGATGTTAGGATACATTCATGTTTGTAAAAAATGAATTTTATTAATTTTATTTTATTTATTAGTTTTATTCAAATTATTAATTTTATATTAGTTTATTTAAAAATCTTACTAACTGATCCTGTGCAGTGTATAAATTTCGGTGTGTAACTAGTACAAATGTAGGAAGCTATTTTACAAATTTAGAAACTATCTGCAGGAAATTACTGATGTAAGCATGGTGGAAATTCCCTTTTTTTGTGTAACATTTGAAGATCAAAAAAAAATTTTATTTTTTTAATATTATATTAATTTTTAATTTTATTTTTTAATATTAATTTTTAATTTTATTTTTTAATATTAATTTTTAATATTATTATTCATTACAATTTTTATGAAACCTATTGGATAATTTAGATAAATATTTTTTTATTAATTTAAATTATAAATTTTTAAAGTTAAAATAATTTTTTGTTGGTACTTATTTAATGCTTCAGTTAATTGTTTATTTGCAGAATCATCATTTTGAAAAATTATAAATTCATCATTATCATTAATATTTTTTTCATCTTCAGAACTACTACTATCATTATCATTGTCTTTCTTTTTTTTCTTTTTTTTATTGTTATCTTGTCCAGATTTTTTCAATCTTTCAATAAAAGAAGGAACTAATTGATTAATCTTTTCTGAAAAATATTGGTAACAATAAACACATAAATTATTTTGCCTGTTAAAACAAATAATATGAAATGAATGACCACAAGTTAAAAAATAGCTTGGAATATTTTGATCTAAAATCTTACAAAAGTTGGCATCACAAAATTTTTGAGTATTAGGAATGTGTGATGAAAGAAAAGCTGTTGGTAAAGCAACTTCACATAATTTACCCATTGTTGGAAGATCATAATATTGTTTTTCATTTGCTTTTCTTTTTGTAAGTTTTTGTGTTTTACCTAAATTATTCCAAACTGATTCAAAGTATTGTAATAAAAATATAGCTGATCTTTCTAGCATACAATCTATATTTTTTTTTGAATAAGGATATTTTTTTTTTCAACAAATGCATTTAAAAAATTATTATTATGTTTTTCAGTATCTATAACTAAAGAATCACGCCTTAATCTTTTTGGATCAAAACCTTTATCAGATGTGTATCTACGTAATAAAGAGTGAAAGTTTTCTACATAACTATCATGAAATAGTGATAAGTATTGCCTAATAAAATTGTAAATTGGATGATTAATTTGATTCCAGTAAAAAATATCACTTAGAAAAGCCAAAATAGCCTTATCATAATTTTTTCTTTTAAATCTTGCCATAAAAGTCCATACACGAAATAAAGTTTCAATATATTCATCGAAAAATCCTCCTCGAAATAAAACTCCATAAATATCCAACACAGAGGGAATGATATTATCTAACAAGTCAATACTAGTTGCATATTCAATATCTTTACATAGTTTAAATTTTTTTAAGATTTCTTGCCTAACTAACTTCCAACCACCATAACTTAGATATAGAAGTAAATTAATTTTACATGGAAATATTCTTTCTCCAAGATCTTTTTTAGCCTTAAAAACATACAAATAGAGCTTATTAAAAAAAGGATAAAAAATTTTATATGTTGTTTCACGTGTGTTTAGTGAGATGTGTAGAGGACCAATTAAAGGAACTAACTTAGTTATTTGATCAGGAATATTATTATTTAACTTTAAAATTTTTTGAGTAATTGCACTACGAATATATAACTGGCCAGGCCAGTCAGCTGATATTGGGATTATATTTGTTTGAATATAATCTTGAATTTCAGAAAATTGAAATAAAAAATTTGCTGCTTTTAAATAATCATCCAGTGATTTAAGATTCAACTCTTGAAATTCAATCAACTTAACACAATCCATTGTACGTATATTATACATATCTTCTTGAATCCAGTTGGTATTGTATGAGTGAATTGATAATGTGTTTATTAATTCTTTTTCAGGTAAGAGAGTCATTTCTGGAACTGACAAAAATGATTTTCTATTTATATAACTAACACTAAATTTGTTCATATATGTATTATATAAATAATATATTAAACTATTAGAGTCTACAAGATTTGGATTATGTACTTTGAATCCAGATGGAGATAAGTAATAAATTGAAGGGATATTTGGAGTATTTATTGTCATAGTCATCATATGTGCAACTTGTGAAGTTGAAGTAGTGTTTGGCATTCTTGATTGGTGTATGTCATGATAGTCATCTATATTTAAAATAAAAGTATTAATTTTCTAAAAAAAAAATTTTTAATTTTAATTTTAATAAATAATATATATATTATAAAATATTATAAAATATAAATAAAATTATTTACCTTTTTTTTTAAATATTCTAGTACACTCAAAGCATGATCTTTTTCTATTTTATTCATTTTGTTAATTGATGAACAATAAGTAGTTGATAAGCCAACATTTGATAGCATGTTAATTCCAGAACATGATGTGCCAGTTCCGACTAAAAACAATCCCATATCATCTTTAAAATAAGTACAATGTTTATTTCTAATACTTACTAACTGGTAAATTAATACCATAATTTTTTTTTTAATACTTTCAATTGTTTTTTGATTTTTATTTTTAATATTTGTTGATTGAACTAATGTATTAAAAAAATGAACAAATCCAGGATGTTTATTACTCACATATTCCATAAAATTGTTTACATTATAGATTGGATTTATTTTTTCCTTATGTTGAGCATTGTATAAAATTTTTGTTAAAATTTCTATTTCTTTTGTAAAATATTTACAAAAATTTGTTTCTTCTAAAAATAAATAAACAGTAATATTAAAATAAGTATAATAAACATATATATAAAATGTAAAATTTTTTGATGCTTTTATATTATATTTAAAATATAAATTATTTGCCTGATATTAAAAATAATTCATCAAAATTTTCTTTTAATTGGTCTAATTCATTTTGTATAAATTGAATATTTGCCTTAAGTTGAATATTTTCTGATGATTTATTTATTAATTCATTATATTCAGCTTCATGTAAAATAAATTTTCTTTTTTTTTCATGTAATGGTAATTTTAAACAAAAATTTTCATCATCATTATTCTTATTATTCTTATCATTCCTATCATATACTACAAGATCATTGTAACATTTATGGCATAACTGTGAACCTATTTCTAAAACACATAAATTCTCTTTGTTATTAGAGAAAACTTTTCGTAAGGAATCTTCATTTAACTTCTGGAAGGTAGTGTTTTCATAATTGCTAAAATTACAAATTTCACAAGGTCCAAAATTGCTTCGTTTCCTTCCCATATTCACACCAAAAAGTTTACTAATAAAATGTCAATGGAATTTCTGATCTTTTCTGATCTAGACTTAGAATATATGAAGGCGTTTATGTGCAAAATTTGAATACACTTTCATTATTGCACTTTACCCTGGCATTTGGTTACACTATTTAATTCTACTTTAAACAATATAAATAATTATGTTACACGAAAAATAGAATTTCCACCATGCTACACTTAATAACTCCAAGTTATTAATAGTTAATAACCACTTATTAACTATTGCACTCTGAGTGAGAGTTATTAATCCAAAAGATCCATTTTGTCAATCAATCCCAGTGTATAGAATTCAGCATGTG